GGCGCCGGTGGTGAATACTTCATTCTCTCATTCTTCACCACTTTTATGCTACAGGTCCATTCATCTTTTTTACATCCGGTTTTATTGTCGATGGTGATAGCTAAACTCCTGACCTCTTTCCCTATGCCGTCAGTCATTTACCTTTGATACAAGTGTCTGTCGCATCATATAGATGATGATGTTTGTTGCTCCTTGAGGATTATTCAGAGACGGAGACCAGTAAAGAAACATCAGTCGACTTTCCTCAAAAAAAGACTGACACAAAAAGTGATCAAACGTTTTGTATGTACCACTAAAATACACTAGAATTCTAATGCAACTGCGGTCGCTTTGTTTTCCTTGGACGTTTCTTTTAAGAAGTAATGAGAGGCTTAATTTCACTGTTTAAATTTCATGTAATCTTTCTTTATGACAAAAACTAAACTACTAAAAAATAAGTGAATGAAAACAGTAAAAAATTTAACACTTTCACATGGTAGTTACTTCATATTGTTCGACAAACATAATAAAATAGCATCTAATGACAAAATAGCAGGATGAAAGCAGAACAGTTGGAAGAACAACTTTTGGTCAACTGTTTTATTTTTAGAAGCACTCAAGCTGAGGTGATAATATTTAAAAAAATTATAAAAACACTGATTTTGTATAGATGGTTAATTATACTTTCTACAAATGATTTGCATGTAATTTGGCTAGGTTTTTAAATGTAAAAATTCTTAATTCAAAAGTTTGGAAACTTCTACTGTAATTCGTGAAATATTGTGCTTATAAAGCTAAATAAGAAAACAGTCAGAGAAAAAATTATGTGTGTAACTTATATGTGATATTTTAGCTTAAATGTGGAAGCATACATATGTAGGGGTGCATAGTTTTGGTGGTCATTAAGCGAAGTTCAGTGATTGAGGAAGAGGCATACAATACACAGGGTTTAGTTAATATCCGCAATATTGGGCTAGTAAATAATGATGTGAGTTAAATAAATGACAGTGTTAATATAATCTAATATGGAATATACTTATTAAGAAATGCTATACTAATCACCCATCCACGTCCATTACAAAGGCTCACATAAGTGTTATATCTTCGTAAAAGCACTGTACTTTTATCATAGAAGAACGATTATATTATTAAAAGAAATAACATTTTTCTTATTATGAAATATTTAAAAATATTTAAAATATTTTCATATTTGGATATTTTAAGTGTTATAGATAACTTACATATTTCAGATACCATGTACGTTAATTGTAATTGATGTTAATGTTCTTTTTATTCATCGTGACATTTTCTAGTTACTGGTATTTCACATGTTAGACATCCTATTTACTCCAAGTTCACATACTCATGTCATTATTTTTCTTAAAACTGTTTTAGGTATTATCAGTATTGAAGCATTAAGACTAACAGCAAATAAACTGTGGATATCATTTTTATATTTTAAATATTTGAAAGGAAAATATGATAAAATGGATTTTAAACGATCTCAGGTTTTGGAATTCAGGGAGAAAAAGATACTTTGAACCTTACAGTATACCAGACAAGTTGTAAACTCTATTTTGCATGTTGAATAATATTGGGACATATCCAGTAAAAAATTTAAAAAAATCGAAAATAGATAGTCAGAACGTTCTTGTGAATTTGTTTTATATCTTTGACATCTGAATTATTTTCGAAACAGTCTTACCTAAACAATAATAATAGTCATCTCCAGAAAGCAAGAAGGTAATATCTTATTATCTAAGCAGTACCACTTCATTAGTCTGGAATAACCCAGTAAATATATAAGCATTAACTTGGAATGTACGATCAAGTAATTAACATGCTGAAACTGGATCTGAATTACATTATTACAATTTTGGATTAAATAAACTGGTCTTGAAGCTGGTAAAATGCTAAAATTCACATTATAATTTCTTTTCCTGTTATTCCATTTAAACATTTTTGTGTCTTTAGTGTCGTGAAGCACAGCGCCAGTATTCAAAGTGGTATATGATAACATATGAGTATTAGTTAATGAACCTTTTATATCTACGTTTAAAGAAATTATCCTGCTAAAACATCTTACCTTTCAATGACTAAACCATTTTAGATAAAGAGTTATTTTAAAATGTTTTCCTAAACATAATAAAAATAATAATCCATTGTTTTCAATTTACTTATTTTTTTTTGTGATCCTTCGTCAGTGACATGAAAGGGTTCGTACAGACGACGTTTAGTCACTATTATGTTGGCATTATATTTAGCAGATGGTGGTACATTCTTCTGATAGACTTATGGGAGAGATTTCATGGAACACTTACACGGTGAAGAAGTCAGGAGGCCAGTATTATGTGTCTCTAAAGACTCGTAATGTGTTTTGGGTTTAACAGGAATTTATGCTGATTTTTATCACCGATGATCACCAAGGGAAACAAATAACATCATTAAACAGATGGTGCATACACGAATTGTGTTTATTAGCAATCCCATCCATATATTGCCAAGAATATTCTAGAAACTACATTTGCTTAGAACTAAATAGGTACTTGGAGAAAATAATCCTTAGATGATCCAACGTAGATCATTAAATTATTGTTACGTTACTGCGCATTCGTAGCACTGGTGTTTTAAACAAGGCTTATCTTGTAACTGCTCATCGAGATAATGCTTCAAACCCCTCACATTCTGCAAAGATGCTTATTGTAATACAACATTTCAATCTAGGTAGTAATATTATTGTTATTATTATTATTATGAAGAAAAATTATTAGTTTTATGTGTGACTAAAAAACGAATTAATGGAGTTTAGCAGAAATAAGCTTAAGCGTGAGCTTCGACTTACGCTAATTGAAAACTATGGTTAACTAAGAACATTAAGCATCCACAATATGGCCCGGACTTTTGATAACTTTTGACAGTTTTTTTGAAAAACAAACTCTCATCTGTTGTTAAAGTTATCCTTGTAGATGAGATAGCTCAAGAATCTTCTTTATCCTACTGTTTACAAACTTTTGATTAAAACTGTGGTAAAACACCATGAAGGTCCAGGATTTTTTTTTTTTGGTGTTGAACCCAACTTGTACAAAAACACTTAGAAATTTACTCGATCAGAGATTTAATTTGTTAACATTAGATATTAAGGTTTAGATATAATCTTTGCAACGTATTTTCGCCAAGACAAGCATTAGTAACAAAAAGGTATTATAATATACTTATTAATCCAAATACTTACGGTTTTTATTACTTAAAACATTGAAATATCGCATATTAACAAAAACAAGCTGAAAAATGTTATCAATTTCCTTGAATTTTTACTATAGATGTTTTAAAAGTGTATAAAGTATCAAACTACTGTATCACGCTATTGGCTTTTTTGGAAGCGTTTGCGAAATTTTGTACAAGATCACTTTCTTAGGCGGGGTTATATTCATAGGAATTTTACTTTTTTTCTTCAGGGAGTACCGCAAACAAATGTTTAAAAATGGAAATAATTCTGTGTAACCTGGATAAAATAATCGGCATTCTTAAGTATTTGACTTGTTTGAAAAGTTTATCATATCGATAATTTCTCTTTATCTGTCATTTGAGGCATTAAAACTGAAATTTAAATGAAATAGTGCTCTTCTAGATTTTCCCGATATACCCATCCTAGAAGTGCTGTATAGGGTTATACATATCGTATAACCACAGAATGAACCAATATGTTAAGACTAAACATTAGCTAGGTCACCAATCGAATTAGAAAATTTTGTTGTTATGGTTAAGACGTTTTATTAGAAACACAGACGAAGTAACTAAGTCTTAAAGGTATGAAATAATGCACTGACGTTTTAATTTAGACGTTTATCAGTTACCAACATGTATAATAACAGTTGATGATTTAGGTTATTGGTTGCATCATATGTAACTATTTATAGCTGCTTTTTTAGCTTTCTTTTGCTCAGTAACTTCTCATGCACTTGCATACGAAATATAAACAAAGTTTATATTCCTGTTCGTTCTTTACATATTCACATTTGAAGATGTAGTGGCAGCTCGCTTAGCTTCTAGTTAAGAGCTGGTTTTCTTAGCTTAATGGCAAGAAATGCTAACCTTATAATTTGGAAATTTTTCCTGGAATAGAAGGTGTTGCGGAGATAGACACAATAAAATTTTCTTAGACAGTGGTTGGCAAAAAATCAGACCAACGGGCTCACAGTATATGGTTTTACATTGACTCTCTAAGGTTCCAAACATGGATATCCAGTTAATCGAAATGTAGGCACTTATTTGAATTTGTTATATTTAAATAGAATAATCCACATAAAAACTCTAAATACTCCATCTTTGTTGTATAAGATGTTGAGAGAAAACCGTTACGTTACTCATACATTACCTAGGCACCATATCATACATGATTAAGAAGATAATTATCAAACAGCTATATCCACAAGTTCATTTAGAATATGTCTTTAAAACAGAGCCAAAGTTAAAATACCTCTTCCGTTTTAAAGACATACTACATCCATTGAATACCACACTATTAGTATATGAGTTCACATGTAACCAGGGATATATTGAATCAACCAACATAAGGTTCTGCTGTCGAATGAAAAAAACACTATAACTTTAAAACCTACAACACCAGTAGTATTACCAACAACTGTCTAAACGAATCTGATGTTGAGCGTACCTTTGGTTTCTTTCGCATCATCTTCCATTCCCAGGAAAGAATCCCAATTTAAAATGATAGAATCTCTTGCTTTTAAGCAAACTAGACCAGTTCTTTACCGGAAGATTAGAGTACTGCCTTTAGATCTTCTCTTTGAAGACGTAGAGAAGGAACAGACTATGAATACGAGGTAGACAAAACCTAAGTATAAACGCGTTTCCTTGTCTAAAACGTTTTAATAAATCTCTCGAAAAATATCACATGAATATAAGCAAAAAGCAAAGTAGGGAGACTAGACTTCTTTAGAAACAAAATCTAATGATGTAAGTCGACTCCTCGACTTTTAGTAATTAGCTTTTTGTCTTTTAAGGAGAAGGAGCACAGGCAGTAGCCTCCATGTACGGTCGACTAGTTACCCAAGATCAACTAGTTGCAATGGGTTCGGGGTCTCAGGGATCTGCAGAAGAGGATGCAGCAACGTTGCAGCCCGCGGTTCTAACAAAAGGTCGCGATCCCAGCACCACTCCTCTACGCAAGCTCAGTGTTGATCTTATAAAAACTTATAAACATATCAATGATGTAAGATTGTTATATTTGTTATATTATGAGTTTTTCCTTAAGTTGAGTAAAAAAAAAAAAAGAGTATCCATGTGAGAATGAAAGAGGTTTATATTTTGGGGAAACGTTGTTCCTAGCCTACTTAAAAAGGAAAAGGAGTATTTTCGAAAAGCAAATGTCATTTATGTTCGCTGTCGATAATTCAGTGTTTTTAAGCACATAATTTATTACTTAATTAGTTATTTGGATTACATTGGATGTTTATTATTATATGAACATTTTAATTGAAATATCGTATCGAAATACTGTCTTAACTTTAACTTAAACAGGCATTTTACTCTATATGATTGAACTGCATGAACATACACCTGATCAGAAGTAATGTTACTTTTATGGTTTATTACATCGTGATTACCTTTGCATCCAATCAATGCAGTTGAAGAGGTTTAAAGTGAAAGAAAACATACGCGGTCTAGTTTCAGGTAGAAAAAAACGGATCCATTTATTATTAAATATTGAGAATAAAATGATAAAAATGAAACGGTTCCTATATTGGCTCGTATAGAATTTTGAAACGTCATATGACAATAGTCTTACTTATATAATATTTTAGAAATGTTATCTGAAAATGATAACATTATACCGTACATATCTTTGCATCAAGAATACAATTTAGAGTTTTACTGAATTTCTTTACAAGTATATTCTCAATGTGTGATGATGCCAGGTCACAGAATCCAAAGCAACTCTGTTTAGATATCGATTTAATAATTCTTTTGCACGATAATTTAAACTTCCTGTTGCCTGTCCTTATTCTAAAAATAATTAATAATTTTCATCACAGAGAATAATTAAAATGCATCTATTTGGATCGTTGCCGATTTCAGAATGATTACCTAATTTTGTTTTTAAGGTATATTATGCAAAGAAGAAACGTAGAGCTCAGCAGGGCCAAGGAGAGGATACTGATACTAAGAAAGAACGGAAAGTATATAACGATGGGTTTGATGATGAGAATCACGACTATATTGTCAAGATCGGTGAGAAATTCACGGATCGCTACGAAATCGATTCACTAATTGGAAAAGGGTCCTTTGGACAGGTGAAGCTGCTAATTTATATTCAATGTTTCACATTTAACATAATAATATTAATGTTTTGTTCATTTGTGTGAAACTTGAAATGTTTCCTTATATGTCTTTTTTTGTAATTTGTTTTCAGATAACACTAAATAATTTATCATATAAATTTGTTAGAAAAATACAGCTTGTTTTCATAATTTTCCAATTTAAAAGTGTTTTCTAGTTATGATGAGCTGAGATTGTTTCGTTGCTTAATTAGTTATTCATTTAGTAAATTTATGATAATACGCTGAATTAGTCTTGAAATATGCTGTAAGAGAAACTATTCAAAATGTATATATTTGATTTACTACATGTTATTTTTCAAAATTTTAATACAAACTTTGAATTGGCTTTCAACATAGTTAATAAAAGGAACTGTTTTTGAGATAAATATATATCTAACAGAAATACTCCCGATTCAGAATCAGAGATGAGTCCTTATGTTTTGGCCTCCAGTGGCACAGCGGTATGTCTGCGGACTTACAACGCTAGGAACCGGGTTTCGATACCCGTGGTGGCCAGAGCATAGATAGCCCATTGTGTAGCTTTGTGCTTAATTATAAGACAAACAAACCTTATGTTTTATTGCAGATGAATTAGAAAAGTAAGTTTTAAACTTTAAAAAATTTCCAAACATAGTGTGCTAATCTGCACAAAGAGCGAGACACGTTAATAAAGTTAAGATTTTACAATTTGTTTGATGTATTTTGGAAATATTGATATTTTGATTGCGAGTACCCAGCTTTGATTTAATATAAATCATCCAAATCATATTAATAATTCATAGAAAAATTACTTAAATGTTTTCAGGTCTTTATTTAAGATATAAAATTATAACAATAGTGTTGCATATATATTCAACGCCTACTGATATATTTAATGTTATGTATCGTAATTCAAAGCCTTGAAAAACTGTTTGCTTGTTTTTAGTCTTGTGATAAAATGTATGTTCTCTCTTCGTTCTATATTGTTTAGAAACTCATTGCACCCGTTAAGATTACTAGTAGAATATTTCTTTAAATTCTAGTTTTTTAAATTATATTTCACAGGTTGTTAAAGCCTATGATTCTGAAGATCATTGCTTTGTTGCCATAAAAATTATTAAAAACAAGAAACCATTCCTGAATCAAGCTCTCATTGAAGTCAGACTTTTAAATTTAATGAACAATTACGAAGGGAAGAGAGGTTATTGTCCGATGGAAAGGAAAAAATTGGTAAGTAGCTTATAATACGGTTATAAGAACCAGTTCTTTCGTTGTTTACTGCCAATAAATCGTGCAATTGGCCACACATCTTTATACCACTACTCACTTATTCTTTATTCCTAAACAGCAATTCAATGAAGCACAATTATGAGATGCACATCATCTTATATACGTTTTCACATGTCTTGTCATTTGATTCATTTAGATACAGAATCAGAGTGATTACACGTTTGAAATGATCGGAAAGTGTAGTAGGAGGTTGAAATAAGCTCAGATTAAAACTTTCGCTAGCCCACTGATTTTTATAGATTCTTATCATCCGATAGAAATGGGAATAAAAAATCGCAATCTTTATTGAAAACTTAGTATCTTGACCGTGTAGATGAACTACTTCATTGAAGACCTAAGTTTTAATTATTTCAGTAATCCATCAATATATATATATATATATATGTATTTAATCAAAAACTACTTTAGGTGTGAAAAAAAGGTGCGGCCAAAAAAAAAAGAGATTCAGCTTGCGACTTAAAGGAATGAAATCAAAATTCGCAGCCAAAAATGATGGTGGGGAAAACAAAATACGCGGCCTAGCTTACTAATGAATGAATATTTGCTGTAAAATTCTTATCAGTGATATAAGTTTTACTACCAGTTTGGCCGACAATTTTGATTTTATTTCTTTAAGTCGCATACTCAATCCTTTTTGGCCACACCTTTTTTTTCACACCTAAGGTGTTTTGATTAGATATCATGACATTTTGTCAATACACACCAACAAATCACAGCAAGTAAGAAAGTAACACTCGATAGTAACCAACATTAGCTTTAGGATCGCAACCTTATTATTCAGAACAGATCTATACTTTACAGATCCAACTAAATTATTTAAAATATGTGATGGTAGTTTTCCTCTCTAAAATTAGTTAATAACTTCCTTTATAGTAACACCATGGAATCTAGATTAATAGCTTCTTGTCATCACCCCCGTGCATTCGGAACAGCCGTATCAAGCATCTTTATTTACGCCAATTGCTTAAGCTAATATCATGTGACGCTAAACGCTCTTTAATTAAAATAATTTCATAAAACTTAGGAAAATTGCGCTTAAAAGTGGGCAATGAATAATGAATAATAACCGTCTACCCGTAAGATTCTTTTGAAAACTTGATCTAGAAGCTGCTAATCTAGTTTTCTTGGCCTAATCCATACTTATGTCTCTGCACATCCTTTCACCCTATAATTTTTGCTGCTCTAAAGCAACCGTATTTAATCCGAATGACAAAAACACTAAAAGTGGTCCATTTTTACTCTTAGGTGAAGCTGTAGTAAAAATTTCAGACCTATAGCTCACGTGACTTTTTTACATAGGCGTACGCAAACATTTTAGTCAAATTTGAGCAATTTTTGTTGAATAACTTTGCACATATGGCTTATATCTAGACCAAATTTGTCACCTAATTGTAAGTTGTAAAGATATATCATTGTACTAAACTTGAAAAAAAGATCCATAAAACTTAAGTATGTTTTTCTATCAAATACATTTTCCGTACTTTCGGTTCTAAGAAAGGAAACAAAAGGAAAAAAATTCTATAAAAATTGGGGATTTTATATTTCGTTTATTTCTTAATGGATTGCCATAAAATTTGGTATGTGAAGTAAGGTTCAAATAGAGATATTCACTGAAAATATGTGATAGTTTGGATTACAACAGTCCGAGATACAGATGTTGGAATATCGCTCCTGTCAATAACAACACATTGTGTCCTGCAGGTTGTTTTGGCCGCACGACACGCTACCGTGTGTCTTGATATATGTATATATATTATTGAATAGAAAATAATGTGAATCTAGTATCTTACGCATGAAAAAAAATATATATATATATATATAGTTATCTTAATATTTTTACTATAAAGCTAACAAGTTTTTCTTCAAAAGCTCCCCACCCCATGCAGTGGCTCAGCGTCAAATCCGTGGACTTATAACGCTAAAAATCAGATTTCGATACCCGTGGTGGTCACAGCACAGATAGCCTATGGCGTAATTTTGCGCTTAACAACAAACATAACAAATCCTTCAAAGTTAAATTAAACAATTAATGCATGCTTGCAAACTTTATTAATCGTTAAAAGAAAACTAAAACATTTTGCTTCTCTTATTCACAAAATGGATTAGCGTCGAGAGTATATCAGGTTATTGTTTTGACTATTATTATTCCAAAGTTGTGAATGAAATGTTTTTTTTTTCCAGTGGTTGTTTGCAGAACAGAATTTTGTTTTGTTTTTAAAGAAAGAGTAATTGCACAAAAAAAGTATTTCTGTAAATCTACTTGTTGATAACAACACAAATAATAACAAAATACATCAATGATATTGACTTTGGCAGGATACAGATAATGTTTATTACGTGCCATTCACCTTCATGGATCAATGCTATATAGACAAAGACTTGCGGTTTCCAGAATGACCTCGCTAGTTATGTTACGCAACCTGTTAATGAACATTTTAAATTTATTTCGTATTGTAACTATGTGCATTAAGAAAATTATATTTAATGTTATAACAACTCGCTATGACTGATACAGAGTAAGTATGATTATTATCGTTCTGATGCAAGCATAAGTTGTATGTCATGACATTCAACAAACTAACATTAATTTATTTTACAATGCATATGAGCTGACAACTCTTTCATTGTTTGTGCAGCTAATTATGTTATATTATTTTCTTTTGTGGTTAGTTTGGAGCTAAAAATGTATTACTTATTAACGCTTCATAATACTTCGTTTTCCTAACAGACATTTAATTATTTATTTATATTAACATCCTTTGCTATCTGTGTTATTTTTTATAAAGTAGGACAAGAAAATATATAGCTGTGATACTGTATTCTTTAATTTTTCACTGAGCTTGACTTAGCAAGTATTTGAAACTATCTTTAATTGATGTCTGATTACGCCTCTTGTAAATCCAATCAGAGTTAGGCAAATTTGTTTTGCACCTTAAGTCACCGGATCATCAAAATTTTCCTTTTCTACTGAACCAGAAATAATTTCCGTGTGCAATTATTAAATAAACTATGGATCTGGAACACTTGTTCAGTTTAGTAGAATAAGAAATAATACATTCCTCACATATTTCGTTGTGATTAAGCAAACTGAAATTAGTAACAGAGAGTCAATGTCACTTCTTAAGGTATGAACTTAATGTTTTTTACATCTCTCTCTCTCTTCGGTTGGACAGCGATAAGCCTATGGATTTACAACGCTGAAATCCGGGGGGTGGACGCATCACATAGCACAACGTGGGTTTGCTCCATAGTAAAAACTAACAAACACTAATAATTTCTTTACCGTGTTACTAATATTATACTAAGTGAAGAATAAATATATATGTGTGTGTGTGTCAGTTTTTGTCTATGTTGTTTCAAGAACTATTATTTGATTCTTATAACTTCTTCTTTGGTTGTAGTTAAACTTAAAAGCCACTTCTTATGGCGGAACCACTTATGTCTGGTGTTTGAACTTCTTTCCTACAACCTGTATGATCTACTCAGAAATACAAGCTTTCGTGGAGTTTCTTTAAATCTGACCAGAAAATTTGCTCAACAGATGTGCATGGCTTTGGCTTTCTTGTCCTCTCCTGACCTCTGTGTCATTCATTGTGACCTCAAACCAGAAAATATTCTTCTCTGTAACCCCAAACGCAGTGCTATTAAAATTGTTGATTTTGGTAGTTCCTGTCAATTAGGACACAGGGTAAGTACGATTATATTATTGATATTTCCAATTCATAATAATATATTTATTTATTGGCGATAACAAAATATAAAGAAATATTTTGTAAGGCATGTACTACTTTCTACTTGGTTCAAGC